TGGACTTGGGGAAGAGCATGGGTGGAGAAGGGAGAGGGAGGGTGGGATTGGGAGGGGAGGAGGGAGGGAGGGAGCTACAGGGGGAAACAAGTGAATAAACTAATAAAAAGAAAAAAAAGGAAAAAATCAATAAAAATTAAAAAATTGATAAATGTAAAATGTACAACAATACCACTTAAATCTTAATAAAGAAGTAAACATTAAAAAAAAAAAAGACCCAGGGATGCAGCTTAGTGGTAGAGCACTTACCCAGCATGTAAGTTCCTTTTCCAGAAATGAAAGGAAAAAATAATTAAACATTAGCAATTTGCTCTTAAAACTTTATCCAAGAAAAAATGAAGCATGTTTACTGTGTGTTTTCAAACCTCTTTGCAGTTTTATTTGTACCAACCCCAAACTGGAGATGGTATAACCACTTGTCAAAGAATGAAAGTTATTGACAAAATGTAGTGTGTCCCTATGACAGAGTAATGTGCTACAGTGAAAGGAACGAATCTGTGATGCTGCATTGTGAAAACCCAAGCCAGAGACAACACAGTTTGCTTTCATTTGTGTGGAGTGTCTGATAAGAACAAAACTACAGAGCTAGGAAGCAGATAAACAAGGCTGAGATCCTGTCTGTGGCAGCAGAAGCAAGCTGTGTGGGGAGGAGAACTGGCTGGAGATCTTCTGGAGTATTAGATACCTTGTAAGAGCCTTGAACTGTAACCAGCTTAGCAGGCATGTGAGGTTTTTCCCTTCCTTCCTTCCTTCCTTCCTTCCTTCCTTCCTTCCTTCCTTCCTTCCTTCCTTCCTTCCTTCCTTCTTTCTCTCTCTCTCTCTCTCTCTTTCTCTCTTTCTTTCTTTCAATTTATTTGTAGAAACTGCTAAATGGGTGTGTAAGTATAATAACAAAAAAAAACAAAGATGAATTTGTTTAGTTGCTTGATTATGACAGCATAAACACAGGACAAATATCTTAGAATCTATTGAAAAGTTACTTCTGAACTGAGTTAGAAGAAGGCTAAAGGGATGACGGAGGGATAAAATTCTGAATGCATCCTTTCATGCACTTTTGGGTTTTGAGTTCTGCTGATGTTTACTATTAAAACAGTTATTTCAAAAAACATGAACATGTAATTGTCATGGTACATTAGTGGCCCCAGTGTAAGAAAAGCACCCCACCTGTGGTTTTAAGATTTATTTTTATTATTTTGAATTGTGTGTGCATGTGTGTGTTTGTGCATGCGTGCATGTATGCATGCATGCAGGCGTGGTGTGTGTGTGGGGGGGCATGTACACATGAATGCAGATATTTCTTTCGGGTTGCTATTGCTGTTATCAATGCTATGACCATCTTTGTCCCTGCACATCTTGTAGCAGGACAGATTTTGGGTTGAAGGTTTTGTGGGTGGGTTGCTGTCCTTATCCCTCCACTGGAAGTCCTGTGTGGCTATGGGAGGTGGCTATTTCAGGCTCTATATTCCCAACTGCTAGGAATCTCAGCTAGGGTGGCCTCCATGGACTTCTTGGGGCCTCCCCTATCCTGGGTCTCTGGTACAACCCAGAGTTGTTCCCTACCTCCAATTTCCATCCTTGACCACCCCCATCTCCCTCCTCCTAATCCCCAGCCCTGCTCCCATCCCCATCCCCTCTCCTATTTTATTTCACCTTCTGAGTGAGATTCAAGCATCCTCCCTTGGGCCCTCTTTGTTACCTAGCTTCTTTGTGTTTGTTGATTGTAGCATGGCTATCCTGTCCTTTATGGCTAATATCCACTTCTAAGTGTGTACATATTATGCATGTTGGTTTGGGTTTGGGTTACCACACTCAGGATGATTTTGTTCTAGTTCCATCCATTTGTCTGCAGATTGCATAACATCATTGTTTTTAATAGCTGAGTAGTATTCCGTTGTGTAAATGTACCATATTTTCTTTACCCATTCTTCAGTTGAGAGACATCTAGGTTGTTTCCAGTTTCTGGCTCTTATGAATAATGTTACTGTTAACACAGTTGAACAAAGGTCCTTGTGGTTTGGTACAGCATCTTTTGTGTATATGCCCAAGGGTGGTATAGTTGAGTCTTGAGGTAGAACTAGTTCCAAATTTCTGAGAAACTGCCAGATTGCTTTCCAAAATAGTTATACAAGACCCACTAGCAATGGAGGTGTGTTCTCCTTTCTTCATACCCTCACCAACATGTGCTATCACTTGAGTTTTTGATCATAGCCATCCTGACAGGTATAAGATAGAATCTCAAGGTTGTTTCAATTTGCATTTCCCTCATGACTAAGAATGCTGAACAGTTCTTTAGGTGTTTCTTGGCCATTTGAGATTCCTCTGTTGAAAAGTTTCTGTTTAGCTCTGTACTCCGTTTTTAAAATTAGGTTATTTGGTTTGTTATTTGTGTTCTTTATATATTTTGGGTATTAGTCCTCTGTTAAATATAGGGTTGGTGAGGATCTTTTCCCATTCTGTTGGCTGCCTTTTTTTTTTTTTTTAATTATTGACAGTGTTCTTTGCCTTACAGAAGCTTTTCAGTTTCATGGATTCCCATTTATTAATTGTTGACCTTAGTGCCTGAGATGTTGGTGTTCTGTTCAGGAAGTTGTCTCCTGTGCCAATGAGGTCAAGGCTGTTCCCCGCTTTCTTTTCTATTAGATTTAGTGTATCTGTTTTTATGTTGAGGCCTTTGATCCACCTGGACTTGAGTTTTGTGCAGAGTGATAAATATGGATTTATTTGCATTTTCTACATGCAGACCTCCAGTTAAACTAGCACCATTTGTTAAAGATGCTGATTTTGGCTTCTATGTCAAAAAATCAATTGTCAGTAAGTGTGTAGGTTTATTTCTGGGTCTTCAATTCGATTCCATTGATCAACCTGTCTATTTCTATGCCAATACCATGCATGGAGCAAAGGCTGGAGGAATGGCCAACCAAAGACTGGCCCCACTTGAGACCCATCCTATGGGGGAGAACCAGTCCCTCACACTATTAAGTTACTCTGCTATTCTTATAGACAGGAGCCTAGCATAACTCCTCTGAGAGGATTTACCTAGAAGCTGATGGAAACAGATGCAGAGACCCGCAGCCAAACACTAGACAGAGCTTGGCGAGTCCTATAGAAGAGTTGGGGGAAGGTTGGGGGAAATGATTGTTGGATACAGAGGAGTCAAGGACTGCATAAGAAGATGAAGACCTATGGAGTCAACTGGCCTGGGCCCATGGGGGCTCACAGAGACTGAACCACTGACCAAAGAGCATGCATGGACTGGTTCTAGGACCCCTGCACATACCTAACAGATGTGGATCCCCCAATAACTGGAGTGGGAGCCTCTCTGGAGTGGGTGCCTCCCTCTGGATCCCAGTCTCCTAACCAGGCTGTCTTGTCTGGCTTTGGCGAGAGAGAAGGCACCTAGTTTTACCATGACTTAATGTTCTAGGGTGGGTTGATATCCATGTGGGACCTCCCCCTTCTCTGAGGAAGAGAGGGCAGAATGGGGATGAGGGGTTTGTGAGAGGAGGACTGGGAGGAGAGAAGGGGGACTGCAATCAGGTTGTAAAGTAAATGAATAAATTAAAAAAGAAATTTCAACAACAACAAAAACAACCCATTGTGACCAAAAGCAACTTGTGGAAGAAAGGGTTTATTTCAGCTTACAGTTCCAACTTCAGTCCCCCACTGAAGGAAATGAGAGCAGGAACTCAAGCAGGGCAGGAACCTGAAGGCAGAAACTGAAGTATAGGTCAAGGAGGAATGCTCCTTACCTGCTTGCTCCCCATGGCTTGCTCAACCTGCTTTTTTATAACACCCAGAACTACCAACCTAGTTGAGGCATCATCCACAGGAAGCTGGGCCCTCCCACATCAACTATCACTCAAGAAACTACCCTGCAGGCTTGCCCATAGACCAATCTGATAAGGACATTTTCTCAGTTTAGGTCCCTTCTTCCCAGGTGACATTAGCTTATGTCAGATTGACATAAAATTTAGTTAACACAGATGCCCTTTAAGACCAGTGGTGTTGGGTCTCCTGGAGCTGGAGTTGCTGGTAGCTGTGAGTGGCTGGTGTAGGTGTTGAGAGCTGATCAAGAATCCTCTGGAAGAAAAGCAAGTGCTCTTAACCTCGGAGCTATCTCACCAGCCCTGCCCCTTACCTGCTGGTTTAGACTGGATATACATGATTAGTGTTATAGCTTTCTGGAGCCAGTAATGGCTGTCTGGCTTTCCTGCTGTGTAATTCACCTTCGTTTTGATAGCCATTCTGAGGTGGATGGATCCACAAGGTGGATGTTGCCATCATCTCTGAGTACTCCATGGAACACAGCTACTTTTACATATAACACACACACACACACACTCACATATATACTTCATGGGTCTGGGATCAAAGTCATGTTTTCAAAGCTTTACTGGCTGAGCCCCTGGGCTACTTTTCACAACGATTTGCGTTGTCTGAGTAGTCAGAACAGACAAAAATTAAAATATCCCCATTGTACACTTGCTTCTTTGTCTGGGCAGTTTTGGATGGATTACAGTTTCATTTTCTCCCGCACTTAGGAGAAAAATTAAGAAATAACCATGACATTGGTCTGAATGGTTATCTACATGGTACAGATGCTTCACTCATAATTTCTTCCTTGGATTTGTAAAATATTTTTTCTTTTTTTTTTTTTTTTTTTAATTTATTCAGCGATGCTGAAGACAGAGAGCCACCCTGAGACTTTTCGTCTATTATCTAGGTAATTCCCTTTGTATCTTGTCCCGGGATTTTACTGGGGATAGTTTGTCCTCATCTCCTCTGCCCCCTCCTTGTCTGAATTGTCATAAAGAAGAAATCTTCAACCCCCCTCTGTTTCATCTGCACTCTGATCTGGAAGCTGAAGGAAGTCATTGTCACATCATCACCTGTCAACCAATCAGGGGGAACCTCCCTTCAATAACCTTCCTGTTCTGTAGAAGTTCTCAGGCAGCTTCCATGGAAGGAGGGAGCCAAGGAGGCCCTCTGTGAGTCTGAAGATGATCATTACAACATGGATTATGTACATCTTTGCCCGGAAAGGTGTAGGGCTACCCTTCCCACCAAAGACGAACTCGGTGAGTGGTGGTGGTGGCTACAATGGAACTGTGCCTAATCCATCTTCTCCCCCTCTGCATGCCTGCTGTGCTTCAGAGACATCTCACATCTCATCCCATTGGGTGGCAGTGTTAAGGGGGGAAGCTGGTCTCTAGGGTTTTTGAGGTCATTATCTTGCCAATTTGTTCCAGGACATTGAAGTTGAGGAAAGTGAGGCTGTATCCGTGGTGCAGCACTGGTTGAACAAAGTAGGTGGAACTCTTCTGTGACTTGGTACCCAAAGTTCTAGAGTGCAGATATCAACAGGGGGAGGGAATCAGGACTCCACTCTCTGTACAACCAAAAAACTCATTAATTACCAAATCCCCTGCCTAGAGCGTAGTTTAATTCATCCTAATATGTGAGAGGATGCGGGGGTTTTTGTTCTGGGAAGAGAACTTGCTGGCATTGTAACTCACTGACTCATCAAACACGCCAGAGGAGGGAATTCTGCTCCTATCTCAGGAGTACTTTGGGATAGGGCCCTGGGCTTAGTGGAAATTAGTAGGAAAATAAAATAGTGGGAGAGCTTTGTGTGGAAGCTGGGAGTAATGGAATGAGAGTGGTGGTGGTGGTGGTGGTGGTGTGTGTGTGTGTGTGTGTCTTTAGTGATGGGAGGAGCAAAAGGGAAGAAAGAGGAGAGGGCAATTTGGGAGTTGAGCGTACAGAGTCAGGGTCCTTCAACAGGGACGTTATTAACCTTTCAGACAGAAGAAGAGGCTGCTCAGAACATAAAGGAGAAGATATCCACCAGCTGCCCCCCCCACTCATGGACATGACATCCATGTGACCAGAGATGTGGTAAGAGTTTGTGAGGAAGTGGGGGTGAGTGTGGGGTGAGGCTGATGGCCCTTGGTGTGAGGGACCCTGGGCAAAGGGCAGATCCCAGCCACGGGTGTCCACACTGGCTAGGAAAGCACCTGTATTTTATCTGGATTTTCTAGGTGAAACACAATCTCTCCAAGTCTGACATGTTAGCAGACCCTAATCGAGAAGTCCTGGAGGAGAGAACGCGAATCCAGTTCATAAGATGGAGGTACAGTACCCGGGAGAGGGGGTATGCGCTGAGTCCCACTCCAGGACCCTGGGCTAGATGAAACACAGAGCTGCTTTGCTCCACACCTGCCTCCTCCTTTGACAGAGAAACTCCTCAGTCATGCCTTGGGGACTTAAGGGAGTATTCTTGTTATCTGGAAAGCTTACATTTCGTACATTTTTAAACGACTTCAGCAGTTGGGGAACCGGGCTTGTTCTCCGTTTCCTAAACGCTTCTGAATGTGTTTCAGATTCCTGTTATTTTTGCACTTGAATTGTTCAGAAGTGGCAGCGTTTTAAAGAGCTAAAAGAAAATAAGCTCTTAAAATGCAAAAGCCGAAGCCCTCATCTGTGACTTTGCAGTGTGGAGGTCTCCCAGTGCCAGAGGCAAGAATTCTGTGACAAAGCTGTGTGTCACCTTCCTGCCACCTTGGTGGGGCTGGCCTGCAGACTCTCTTGGTTCTGAGGATGCTAGGATTCCAGGTGGAGGGGGCTGGCCATAAGTCACCCCAATAACCCTTCAGAGGAGTCCTATTGTGTGTGTGCGTGTTCCCTGAATCTATCAGTCTTTGGGACAGATCATCACATCCTTCCTTGAACTAGTCCACGTGTGACTAAAGGGCTTGTTCTTTCCTCCTTCCCCTCTGTGCTCCATTGTCTGCCTCCCTCTTCCCCTGAGGAAGCTGCATTTCTCAGCAAGCTTAGCTTCGCTTCAGTATTCATGTGTTCATTGTAGAGAATTCAAATATGCACTGAATCTTCTAGGGACTGATAAGCAGTGGTGGGATTTCAGAGCTAAGCAAAGAAGAATTTTCTCTAGAAACTCATTGAGTCTCCTCGACATTGTGGGTACCATGTGGATGAACTCTGTCTGGAGTTACAAGCACGGCTATCCTTTTTTGGACAGTACTAACCTCATCTTCCAACCTTGCTTTAACGTTGGCTCTACAGCCAACGTTAAATGTTAAAATGTTGGAGGCAGGCAAAAAGCATCAATCATTTATCCATACATAATTTTTTCAGTCTGTGTTTTCAGTGGAGATTGGAAAGGAACAGTCTGTTCTTTCCTGTAATGCATGGGTTATGGTGTTTTCTTCTTAGTTCTGGTAAGTAGGTGGTCGGGGTAGCACGCTTGAATGAAGCAATACTAGTTCTTCATTCTTTTGGTAGCCGTGAATGCATCGCCCTGGACTTGCTACCTGGTCTGGAAGAGAAAAAAAGGGCAAAACACAGCTCACATAGTTCATGGAGATAAGGTTAAGCAGGCAGGTAGGGTGTGTGGAAGCTAGTGTCAGGGAACCCTGGAAGAAGGCTTGAGACCTGGGCTGCGCATTGATTAGGTGTTGCTGCCAGATTGTCCCAGGAAGGTTCCCAGGGGTCTGTTGGCTCAGACTAGCTCTTTAGTGGGCTACTATTATCAGAGAGATGGGGAACGGCAGAGAAAAGGAGAGCCCAGGTGCTTACAGGGCTCAGTGGTGGGGTCTCTGTTTTCAGAGGGTCCTCTTTCTCCTAGGCTGGAGACAATCAGCCTTGTCTGCTTTAGCTCCCTCTATGGCAGTGGTTCTCAACCTTCAAAATGTGAGACTGCTTAATATAGTTCCTCATGTTGTGGTGACCTCCAGCCATAAAATTGTTTGTTGCTACTTCATAAATGTAATTTTGCAACCGTTATGAATCGTAATGTAAATATATAATATACAAAATATTCGATATACGATCCCAAGGGGTTATGATTCACAGGTTGAGAATCACTGTTGTATGGGTCCCAACTGGTTCTTCCTGGTAGGATTCCTCACAATCACAATCATATCTCCCCTTTCTCTGTGGGCAGAGTGTTAGGGCAGGCAGGATTTCTGCCTCAGATGTAGCAGGGTACCAATGAGGAAGGTTCTCATAGACAAAGTAGGGAGTATGGCATGAGAAAAGGCAGGAAGTAGACCAGAGAAGGGAAGGCAATTTTAGTGCTGAGAAATAAGGCAAAGAGTGTTAAATTGTAGTGCTTGTGTCATGATACTAATCCCAAGAGTACATAATGAAAGTAGAGAGGAATTACACAGCTCCACCGCCCTGCTAGGGGCCAGCTTCTCTTTCCTTGGAACCATTTGCCTTCTGCATTCGATGGCTGGGAGCCTCAGAGGTGCTTTGTTAGTTCAGGCACAGAGGAGTGAGAGATGGGCTCTCAGGCTCCTGTGTCTGGAATTACTGTCACTGTTCCAATAGTCCCAGTTCCAGTAGACTTACCAGGCTTAGTTGTTATGAAAATGCTGCTCAGAATCCATCTTGCAATTGTGTTTTCCAGCCACACCCGAATCTTCCAAGTGCCGAGCGAGGTGATAGATGACATCATACAGGAACGGCTAGATCAAGTGAGACGAAGGTAAGTTCTGGCAAGGAGGTTGCCTTGTGTGCCTCTCTGGGTACAGGTGGGTGGAGATAGTTAGCTGCCCATCCCAATCGTCTGCTGGCTTCAATGTATGGAGACACAGTTCCCAGGGAGTCTATCCTTTGTGATTCAAATTATCATGTCCTTAATCAGCCTCACCTGGTACCTACCTGCACATAGCTGCAGGGTGAAGCTTTCTTCGGAGACTTCAATTCTAAAGTTTATGAAGGATGATGGCTCAGGCCTGTGCTTTCTAGCCAGCCCATACCCTCTGGGCTGTGGTTTGGTTATGAGATGGAGGTAGGTTCTGATAGCAGTATCCTGTCCATCTTGCTGTTCTCCTCTGTCCTCTGCAGCATATCCCATCTCACGTGTGACTCACACGATGACTCAAGCTTCAGAACTACTTGCTCAGAATGTTAAGGTGAGGAGGCCCATAGGTAAAGGCCTGGGTGGATAGGGCATCTAGCCTTGGTGGTGGAAGGGAAAGACCTGGTATGGGGAGCTTTACCTTTTCCTGAGTGAGAAGGGGCCTGCACTCAGGCCTAGTGGGGGTGGGGAAAAGTATCACTGTCCTAACTCTGCTTTGAGACACAGGGTCTCAGCAGGAGGGCAAATAGATGTTGAATCTGCCACCAACAAGGGACTTTTGGCCACACATCTTCTGCTTGTGCTTTATACAAGGCAGTGGCCATAACTGGGCATTGATATGGTTCCAGGAAGTTAAAAACTGGAGGTGGAACCACCCCAATAGAAAAACCATGCCTGAAGCAGTCACTGCACCCTATCCAAGCAAGATGCCCTGGTACCTGCTGTGTGGGTGAGGATTAAAAGGCATGATTGGCACATAGCTAGAGGTTACATGCTTAAAAATACCAGCAAAATGCAACACTATGATTTATTAAGTGCTGATTGTATGCCAGATTCTGCACAGGGCATGTTTTCTGAAGGGTTCTCATTGACCTAGCCAACCACTACTCCCAAAAAATAGGGCAAGTGAAGACAGGGAGCAGATACTGACTTCAACTGGCTGCACCTTCCCACATGAGCACTGAGCACATCTCTGATTCTTAGGTTGAAGGCCTCCAGGATCAATGAACAGCCTCTGTCCAAAGAGTGTCCACCACATGTTTGATGAGACTTTCACAAAGAGACTCTAGAGGCTAAGCCCTTGGTTAACACCGTGACAATGCTGGAATCTTCTTACTTAAGTGCTAATAAAGAGACATCTTATTTACCAACCAGACCTGATGTTGGTGTGGATGTCTTCCTCCCTTACTCTCTCCCTCCCATTCATGTATCTCTTGCTCCCTCCCTCCCATCCATTTATCTATCTCTTCCCTCCCATCTCCCCATTTCATCCATCCATCATCTATCCATCCCTTGTTCTCTCTCTCCCTCCCTTTCTCCTTCCCTTCCTCCCCTCCTTTTGTCCCTCTGCTCCATCCATCCATCCATCCATCCACCCACCCACCCATCCATCCCTCCATTTCTCATCTATCCAAAAGGATAGATCCCTCCATCTATCCAAAGCTGGTTGCCTTGGAGGCCTGGTGCTGGGGACACCAAGCTGGTTGGGATTGGACAGGGCCTTGGGTGGGTTGGGGTGGATTTCCCAAGGGAGTACTGGGGATTTCTGTACTTTATATCCACCCATTGCTTCTTTAACATCTCCTTTTTTTGTAGCTCTCATTCTGGCCTGTATCCTCTCTTTTTTTCTTAAAAAAAACTTAAGCATTTTCTGCTACGCAGTTTTACTAGTGAAGATGTTCTTCTATTTTTGAGTATGAGGAAGTATTTATTTCTCCCTTTAGAGGGATGGCTGTGCAGGCTACTGAATGCTGTTGTTGTTTTCATTCTTTGAGCGTTTGCATATTTCCCTCTACTTTTGCTTGCATGGTTTCTGCATGGAGTTCTTGTCCTTGCTCTTTACAGACGAGGGAGTTCTCCCTACTGTCTTTTTTTCACCAGCCTTCTTTAAAGATTTTTGTATTCCCTGACTAAGTGCTGAGTTTCATAAGGCCATTTCCATACAGGTTATAAGGTATTTTGAGTGCGTTTACCGCAATCCTTTTCCTCTCCCCTTTCCACTTCTGTGAGTCCCTTTCATTCTTTTTGACAGTTTTACGTCTATTTTTATGTCAAATGCACATGCCTGATTTCATGCATCTATATAAAATCTAGATTTCAGAACTGAGAGAAAAGTGATGTTTGTCTTTTTGAGACAGAATTAATCTGCTTAACATGGTAATAGCTAGTTGCATCAATTTTCTTGCAAGTGACATATTATGTTTTTTCCTGCCCAAATAAACTTCCACTGCCCGTATTTACATTTTCTGTATCCCTTCCTTTGATCACAGACCCCAGGGTTGTTTCCTGTATGTTGGACTTTTTGTGCTTTGACATCAATAGGCATAGATTTTTTTTTTTTCCTGTTTGGAATTCTTTGAGATCTCTGGATTTGCTTTTCATTGATGTCAAAAGTTTTGGGACAGTCTTAACTTTTAACACCTCAAATGATTCTGGGCCATTTTTTTTTTTCTGTGCCCTTGTTCATGGCATTACACATCCATTACAGACATGTTTATTGTTACAGGAGCATTTTGTGATTGATCCATAGCTCTTGGACATTCTGACCTCCCCCATTTGCTTTGTTGTTTTTCTGTTGCTACTTCTTGCTTTTCCATGGTGGTGGGATTTGAACACGTGGCCTCATGCATACTGAACACACACAAAGTGCCACTGAGCGATACACTTGTTATCTAACACACT